AGATAGATAGATAGATAGATAGATAGATAGATAGATAGATAGATAGATAGATAGATAGATAGATAGATAGATAGATAGATAGATAGATAGATAGATAGATAGATAGATAGATAGATTAGATAGATAGATAGATAGACTTTTCTTAGGGATGTGATATACGTGTAACATTGCACCTAAAGTGTTTTAATTTAATTTCTAAAAGTTTTGGCAATGACAGATAAAGTGTCCTGATGTTTCACTATTATCACCACAGGATCTGCATTCGTCACATTCCGCTCTTACCATTTCGCTCGTATGTTCACTCAGGATATGTACCTCGGACTTATCTCAATAGGGATCGATTCTCCTTGCATTGGTTTAGTTAATTCGTAGTTTGAAAGAACGATGTATGTTGCATTAAATCCGAAGAATGCACCTAGGTCTCTATCGGCCCTGTTGTGCGCTCCGGTCTAACAGACTAGAACACTAACCACCGGAGTCACAATTTCATTTTCGTTTGGGTTACGACATTAGTTTTAAATACAGTTTTGCACTTATCAGGAAGCAATTCTTTCAGTTCCCTGACATTAATAACAAGTTTGTACTTTCATTACTATTGAAAGAGATATCCGTTACAGTTATTGGTCTATCCTCTATATGATGTCTCCATTTTTCATTTCTGTTCACAGAATTTTACGTCTTTTATAAAATTAACATAAATTACTTAGAACGAACTTTTATAATTTCTTTTAACCAAATTGGTTTTTTACGTCTTTAAAAATATGTCTGCACTTTGGAATCAAAATAATGGCTATTTTAAGCACACACATGTTTCATCAAAATAAATTGTATTCATATATTTTTTTTTAATAAAAACTATTAATTAAATCACCATTTAACCTCGGCAGATATCTACATACAAAACAATTCTTTGTTTGCAATTTTATACAACTTCAACATTTTAAATTAAATACAATCACATTATTATTGACGTTCAAACAAAATTGATTGATAAACAAAGAAATCAGAGAAAAAGCAACAAACTCAATTCATATTAAAAACAATTATAGTATTTTCATATCCATTTACCATATACATACATACATGCATACATATGTATTTATAGACACTTCTTACAATTCACGTGATACTCACTCATAATGTCTGTTAAATAATTCTATATTTAAAACTCGTGCTACAAAATTCAACAACACAATGTGAAATCAGTGCTGGTTGTTTTTTTAATTTGTTTTAAATTGAACTGAGACTGAGCTTACATACAAACTACATCAGACATCCAGTTTGAGGCATTAAGTTTCATGATGCCACATAATTGAGAATCGAATGTGGTGGTGGAGTGGAAACGTGATGATAACTTAATTGATTGCATTTCCTTTTATTATGTCGTTTCGTGTTCATTTCACAAAAAAAAAATTAACAGTTTTTTTTTTTTTTTTTGCAGAGACTTTTGAAAGTAGCTCTCGTCCTGTTGCCATGTCTATGGGTAGTTTAGCTTCTTGGTCGTGTAGATTTTATTATAGGTATGGCTTTGCCTCCACTCTCCAATGCCTGGGGTGGCCTTTGTCTTCTGTGCCATTTTCGGTGGACCTGTACTCTGCTCTTTGTTCTTACAAAATTCTATTTACCCGAAACTCGCGGTAAAGATCCCTCAGAAGTAGCACCTTTGGTAGCCAAAGGTTTCGTTCTAAAGTGCAATAATTATTATAAATAAATAATAAATTATATTAATTTTAATAAAACTTTTATAAGATTTAAGTTGAAGCCTGTATCTTTGTTCTAGCTAATTAACTCAAGTGTTCAAAATTATATGGAAAATTGTAAACAATAATATGTAAAGTGATAATGTTTAGGGGTTTTACTATATAATGATGCTTTAAAGTAACTCTTGGTTATAAAGTTTTTTTTATGAAAATTTCTAATTATTTTATTTTGTTTTATTTTCTAAACATAATTAGTTGGTAGCACAATTTTAATATAAATTTTAGCTAATTTTTTTAATAATTTCTTTTATTCTTAATAATTTTATAAAATTTGTTCTAAAATTATATTTCTACGTACACATAACCTAAAATTAATAATAATAAATTTATTTTGTAATAAACATAATTTCATCAGTTGTTTGTTAAAGGCAATTCGTGGATTAACCTAAGGTCTTTATGAGGCCTTATGTCAGAGCCATTTTTGTAATAAACATAATTTCATCAGTTGTTTGTTAAAGGCAATTCGTGGATTAACCTAAGGTCTTTATGAGGCCTTATGTCAGAGCCATATTCGTACTAAGCGGGTAAAACATCCGGCAACTTAATGTTGACAATTTTTGAGCGTACTTTGAGACTTGCCAATATTACTCCTTTGTAGGTATGTATTCTAGTTTCAGAATACTATAGTTCTCAGTCCATGGTTCATTCATATTCAGGTTTCCATTAATACCGTAATTAAGACCGTAAGAAATTAACCTTAATGTCTTTCGGTGAAGTCATTTATCACCACAGATTCTCCTTTATACGCCTCCCTTGAAGGTATGGGTGGATGGCCAATTAGAGGGCAGCAACTTCGCGCCCTGATACAGGGCCCAAATTACGGCATACGATATCGATCGAAATCTCATATAATCTAAATGGAGATTTTCATCGATCAATGCCATAATTTGGGCCCAGGATTTACTTCACCACTTTGGTACATTCCCCATATCTGCCAAAACTAGGGTCCACAGGATCGTTACAGCAGTTCAAGTTCACTTCTAGTAGATTTTTAGTTCAGATTTTGTTCAGTTCTATATCAGTTATAGTTCAGTTCTAGTTCAGTACTTGTTCAGTTCTAGTTCAATTCTAGTTCAGTTCTAGTTCAGTTCTAGTTCAGTTCTATTTCAGTTCTAGTTCAGTTCTAGTTCAGTTCTAGTTCAGTTCTAGTTCAGTTCTATTTCAGTTCTAGTTCAGTTCTAGTTCAGTTCTAGTTCAGTTCTAGTTCAGTTCTAGTTCAGTTCTAGTTCAGTTCTAGTTCAGTTCTAGTTCAGTTCTAGTTCAGTTCTAGTTCAGTTCTAGTTCAGTTCTAGTTCAGTTCTAGTTCAGTTCGAGTTCAGTTGTAGTTCAGTTCTAGTTCAGTTCTAGTTCTAGTTCAGTTCTAGTTCAGTTCTAATCCAGTTGTAGTTTATTTATCCATCTATCTATCTATCTATCTATCTATCTATCTATCTATCTATCTATCTATCTATCTATCTATCTATCTATCTATCTATCTATCTATCTATCTATCTATCTATCTATCTATCTATCTATCTATCTATCTATCTATCTATCTATCTATCTATCTATCTATCTATCTATCTATCTATCTATCTATCTATCTATCTATCTATCTATCTATCTATCTATCTATCTATCTATCTATCTATCTATCTATCTATCTATCTATCTATCTATCTATCTATCTATCTATCTATCTATCTATCTATCTATCTATCTATCTATCTATCTATCTATCTATCTATCTATCTATCTATCTATCTATCTATATTTTCAATTGTTCAATGTGTTGACCTGTGTAATCGAAAACTAATGAAAATCTTTGAACACTTTAAGTCCATATTCTTTAATAAAAATTTCACTAAAATACAAAATTTTCCCAAAATTCGAACACAATACAATGTAGAACTGAGTATTTATTTGTTTTTTATTACTTTTTACTAAATACACATAAGGTATTAAAACTATTAAAATATTAACCAGATTTTGTGGTCTATAAATTCAACAAGTGTCTTTCTCTTGTTTCCCGTTAATAAAATTTAATTGAAAACGTAATGATTTGCGCTTTTTTTTCATTCCAAAATTTTATATATTGACTATAAACATTTCAAATAATAACATCATCGAGTGTATACAACAGACGCCGATTTTTCAAACAAAATAATGACGTCAAAAATGAAAAATATAGAAAAACAACAAAAAACGTCAGTAAAATTTACTTAAAGTAAATGTATTCTTATGATAAAGATCAAATTGGAAAATGTGTTTTCTGTTGGGAGAAAATTTGTATTTAAAGTAAAAAAATTTGGGGTCTTACGTTGAGGAAAATCAAAAGATACTTTAGTAATGAACGGTCTGGCAAACGGTGAATAACGGAAATTTTCGAAAATAAACAACGATCGGTGACTATGAAACGAAAACAACGAGCGTGTATAAGAACAATTACCGAGTGAGTGCCATTGATTGGTAGAGAGATTTCTAGAGAAAAAAGAGAGCTAAAAAAAATAACAAAATTTTGAAAATAAATAAAAATCTCTACTCAAGAAAAAATTTAAAAATAAATTCACTTTAAAATGTTTAATATTTTTTGTTCGTTCTTCTTTTAGAGACAATAAATGAAATAGTTTTTTTCTCCAATACTTTTCGTTTGTAATATTAATTTTTAATGTTCCGCAAAAGAAAATTATGTGAAAACAAAAATATTAAAGAAGAAAAATAAATATATATAACTTAATTATGAAATCATATGGTTAATACTAAAATAAAGTATGTAAAGTTTTGTTATTAATTAATTAAAAAAAAACATGTAAGAGAGGGGAGTGTCATCGCATGGACCAAATTGTTATGAAAACCCCTTTAATTAATATGTGTTTTGTATAAGTGCTTTCGAAATTGTTGTGTTCTTAAGTATACAAAATTAATTTGTTAATTAAATGAAGTGTTTAATGCCAAAAAATGCAGCAAAGGTGGAATTTTTGAAAATATTTTCAAGATTTAAAAAAATAAATTAAAAATGTATCTTAAAAAATATGAAAATAAATAAAGAAAATCCAAATACAAAACCGGGGATGCATCAGTCGACTGATCTTTACTGTGTACGAATATTTATACAGAAAATGAAAACAAATTTGTATGTATAGTCGGCTATATTATAACCCTACACGAGTAAATACATATTTCATTGAAAAACTACAATTTTCAATCTTAGCCAAAAGCTGTAGATGAAATTTTTTCATAAAAACTTAATGTATTCAGTTCTGGTCAATGTTCTAGTTTAGTTCTAGGTGAGTTCTGGTTTATTTCAGTTTCAGTTCTACTTGAGTTCTTCTTCAGTTCTAATTCAGTTATAGTTCCAGTTCAATTCTTGTTCAGTAGTAATTTCAGTTCCATTTCAATATTAGTTCAGTTCTAAATAAGTTCTAGTTCAATTATATTTCAGCTTCTCTTTAGTTCTACTTCTATTCTACTTCAATTCTATTTAGTTCTAGTTCAGTTCTATATCAGTTCTAGTTAAGTTCCATTTCAGTTCTAGTTTAGTTCTAGATCAGTTCTAGTTCAGTTCTAGATCTGTTCTAGTTAAGTTCTAGTTCAGTTCTAGTTCAGTTCTAGTTCAGTTTCTAGTTCAGTTCTAGTTCAGTTCTAGTCAGTTCTAGTTCAGTTCTAGTTCAGTTCTAGTTCAGTTCTAGTTCAGTTCTAGTTCAGTTCTAGTTCAGTTCTAATTCAGTTCTAGTTCAGTTTCTAGTTCAGTTCTAGTTCTGTTCTAGTTCAGTTCGTTTAGTTTCAGTTCTAGTCAGTTCTAGTTCAGTTCTAGGTTAGTTCTAGTTCTAGTCAGTTCTAGTTCTAGTTCAGTTCTAGTTCAGTTCTAGTTCAGTTCTAGTTCAGTTCTAGTTCAGTTCTAGTTCAGTTCTAGTTCAGTTCTAGTTCTAGTTCAGTTCTAGTTCTAGTTCAGTTCTAGTTCAGTTCAGTTCTAGTTCACTTCTAATTCAGTTCTAGTTCAGTTCTAGTTCAGTTCTAGTTCAGTTCTAGTTCAGTTCTAGTTCAGTTCTAGTTCAGTTCTAGTTCAGTTCTAGTTCAGTTCTAGTTCAGTTCTAGTTCAGTTCTAGTTCAGTTCTAGTTCAGTTCTAGTTCAGTTCTAGTTCAGTTCTAGTTCAGTTCTAGTTCAGTTCTAGTTCAGTTCTAGTTCAGTTCTAGTTCAGTTCTAGTTCAGTTCTAGTTCAGTTCTAGTTCTAGTTCAGTTCTAGTTCAGTTCTAGTTCAGTTCTATTTCAGTTCTAGTTCAGTTCTAGTTCATTTCTAGTTCATTTCTAGTTCAGTTCTAGTTCAGTTCTAGTTCAGTTCTAGTTCTAGTTCAGTTCTAGTTCAGTTCTAGTTCAGTTCTAGTTCAGTTCTAGTTCAGTTCTAGTTCAGTTCTAGTTCAGTTCTAGTTCAGTTCTAGTTCAGTTCTAGTTCAGTTCTAGTTCAGTTCTAGTTCAGTTCTAGTTCAGTTCTAGTTCAGTTCTAGTTCAGTTCTAGTTCAGTTCTAGTTCAGTTCTAGTTCAGTTCTAGTTCAGTTCTAGTTCAGTTCTAGTTCAGTTCTAGTTCAGTTCTAGTTCAGTTCTAGTTCAGTTCTAGTTCAGTTCTAGTTCAGTTCTAGTTCAGTTCTAGTTCAGTTCTAGTTCAGTTCTACTTCAGTTCTAGTTCAGTTCTAGTTCAGTTCCAGTTCAGTTCTAGTTCAGTTCTAGTTCAGTTCTAGTTCAGTTCTAGTTCAGTTCTAGTTCAGTTCTAGTTCAGTTCTAGTTCAGTTCTAGTTCAGTTCTAGTTCAGTTCTAGTTCAGTTCTAGTTCAGTTCTAGTTCAGTTCTAGTTCTAGTTCAGTTCTAGTTCAGTTTCAGTCCAGTTCTAGTTCAGTTCTAGTCCAGTCCTAGTTCTGTTCTAGTTCTCTTCAAGTTCAGTTCTTTTTCTAGCTTAGTTTTTGTTCTAGTTCAGTTTTAGTTCAGTTCTAGTTTAGTTCTAGTTCAGTTACAGTTAGTATTTACATCTGCTAAGTAGTCAATCCGATCGTTTGTATTGTTTCACTTGTTTCAATATGATGTAGGTATTTTAAATTATACACATATTCAAAAACTATATCTCATACCTTTAGCTATATTATTTATGCAAACATTAAATAGTTTTTAAAAATTTTATGACGTCTATGGTTTGTATATTATTCGTAGATTCGGTCAGGGAAAAATAATAATAATTCCATATGGTTTTTGTAGTGTGTAAAAGTGCAAAAGTGTATTGTCGATTATTTAAATATTTCAAAGAGATTCCTTTCTGTTTCTTTCTTTCTTTGAATATTTCTAAACAATTTTCCAAAAAAAAAAGTAAACTATAAAAATAAGCGCGTCATATAAATATTTTGTTTGTAATTCAATGGTATGAGGGGATGTTTTTATTTGCGGTTTAGTTTCTTTTTCGAATTACAAAAAAAATGAAAATAATTAAATAAAAACATTATCAAATAAACGGATTATAAAAATGTAATGGTTAATCATAAAATTAATATAATGAAATAAATTGTGAAGTTTTGTAAGGAGAAATAAAAACCGCAATTTTATCTTTAAAATATGCTAAATATAAATAAGGTTCACAATGCATTTTAATATGTTTTTAAATAAAATTATTGAAAATACATACATATTTTCTTAATATTGAAAAAGACCTTGAAATATTTCAGGTCAAAATCACCGGATTTTACCAAGACTACTGCCGTTTTCATTGAGAAATCAAAATGAACTAGAACTGAACTAGAACTGGACTAGAACTGAACTAGAATTGAAATAGAACTGAAGTTGAACTGAACTTGAACTGAAATAGAACTGAACTAGAACTGAACTAGAACTAAACTAGGACTGAACTAGAACTGAACTAGAACTGAACTAGAACTAGAACTGAACTAGAAGTGAACTAGAACTGAACTAGAACTGAACTAGAACTGAACTAGAACTGTACTAGAACTGAACTAGAACTAAACTAGAACTGAACTAGAACTGAACTAGAACTGAACTAGAACTGAACTAGAACTGAACTAGAACTAGAACTGAACTAGAACTGAACTAGAACTGAACTAGAACTAGAACTGAACTAGAACTGAACTAGAACTGAACTAGAACTGAACTAGAACTGAACTAGAACTGAACTAGAACTGAACTAGAACTGAACTAGAAGTGAACTAGAACTAGAACTGAACTAGAACTGAACTAGAACTGAACTAGAACTGAACTAGAACTGAACTAGAACTGAACTAGAACAGAACTAGAACTGAACTAGAACTGAACTAGAACTGAACTAGAACTGAACTAGAACTGAACTAGAACTGAACTAGAACTGAACTAGAACTGAACTAGAACTGAACTAGAACTGAACTAGAACTGAACTAGAACTGAACTAGAACTGAACTAGAACTGAACTAGAACTGAACTAGAACTGAACTAGAACTGAACTAGAACTGAACTAGAACTGAACTAGAACTGAACTAGAACTGAACTAGAACTGAACTAGAACTGAACTAGAACTGAACTAGAACTGAACTAGATCTGAACTAGAACTGAACTAGAACTAAACTAGAGCTGAACTAGAACTAAACTAGAAACTAATTGGTAATCAATGCTCATTGCTTCAGATGTGAGACAGTGACAAGATTTCTTATTCTAGTCTTCATAAGTTTAAATCTTAATTATAGAAAATTTTAATTTTTTAAGGAATGTACTTTTGTGAATGTTCGTTATATTATGAATCTGTCTGTTGGCTAAATTAACTTAATGTCTGAAAAAAAAAAACAAAATTCAATTCTAAAATACCAGAAATTCATTAAGAATAAATAGCACGTTTTTGTTTAATGATTTACAAGTTTTTTTCGATTTAAATTTAAACAAAAATTTAGTGTATGTTTGTTTTAGCATTCTGTATGATACACCCTACACCATTAGGAGGGAAATAATTTTAATTTTAAGGAGCGCATGTTTTAAACATAAAATGCAAACAATTTAACTTGATCACGAAACCAGTTATTTGGCGCCATATTAGTAACTTAAAATATAGAGTTTCGACTCTTTCGACAGTTTTATAGTTCCGATTGGAGACAGTTCTATAGTCTTGACTATAGACAGTTCTACTCAAAAATGTTATAGTGATTTTAAATTTGCTTGAACTTTGTTAAGTATTAGGAACATATTTGGATTATTGAGACAATTTAAGGTATATAACATCTTAGGGTATATAAGATGCTTTACTACCGATTTCAACAAATTGTTAAATGTTTCTAAGTTTTCTATTCATTCAAATAACTCGTAGTTGCACTATACTAAATGTAGTATGTGGGTGATATTAGAGTATGTTTATATATTTAAAGAATTCTTTTATTATTTATTTTTTTTTTTTTTTCAAAATTATGTTTGACATTTAATATTTTGTGGTTGACAATTTTC